TATTCTGTACATATGTATCTGCTGTAATATGCTGTATTACTATAGTAGCATTTACGTAGCATATTTATACAGTATTCGTATTACAGATACAGTGGTTACATCACCTTTTAGTAATGCATAATATTAGTGCAAAGGCTAAACAAACTACCGCAATTAGTTTTTTTTATAAAGCATTCTTTTAGCAATTAACCATAGAGCAAATATGAAAAACTTACGAAAGGACTACGATATAATTCAGCGCTACAAAGTTTTTTCGCTTCCAGTTTGCATAACATTGATTATGTCTGTCGCTGCGCTTATGTTTACCGTGCTTTTGGTTCCTGACGCATCTATAATTGATGTCCGAAAGACCTGCCGCGAGATTCGTCTTGTCTTCCTTTATTACTTCTTGAAGCAAGAATGTCCATTGATTCCGTAGTGCGTGAGCAACGACGCGCGTCGATCCTTGCACAAAGGTTACCAAACTAAAATTGCTTGAAATGCGTTACTATTATTCACCTGCAACTCTGCATAGACTATAGAGAAAATGTGCAGCGCATCTGTATTTCCAGGACTTTAACCGTGCACAAACCGAAAACGTCCTGGTGTTCCACAAACCGAAAACGTCCTGGTCCTGGTAGTCGAATGCGCTCAGACTATCGATTTACATTTCATTTCAGGATAACGTATCAGCAGGAATTATGGAAGGGATTAAGAAAATTCAGCTGTGCTGAACGCAGTGATAACAGCCGCCCCGTGCAGGGGTCGCTAGCGCTGAATGCAGCAGGGTGTATCGATTATCGGAAGTTATTCGGAACACCAGAAGACCGTTCAACTTACAGTTACTTGTGCAAGCCACAGCCTCTTATGTTAACTGATGAGATCGACATAATTATTTCGACGTTCTCATTTTGTTGGTAATTTCTGATTTTGTATCCATCGTCAAAGAAAGCAGAGAATATTAGAGTATGTAAATAAACACCTGGATGATATCGGATGATTACTGTTTGTCTGTCTGTTCAAGTTAAGCGTGATAGTTTTACGTTCTCCGCGCGATATAGCTGTCCCTGGGGTTCTCCACATCCTTAAGCCTCGCTGAACTTCCCAGATCTGTAACCTGAATCTCTTCCACCAGCTAATCAGTAATCATTATTCTGTCCGGCAGTTTTATATGGTTGTCTGTGCAACTGCCCACTTTGCGTGCTCAGTGCAGAGATCCCCCTTCCCAGTCATCTCCCGTCTTTAAACATGCTCGAGTCGCTCGACTTTCAGTTTTGTTGCAACCTAAACAGCTTTCTACGCGGAAGCGTCATTTCTTTCCTACCTGATCCATGATTTTGGTCTGTTATCATGCCATAGTCACTGTATTCCCTGCGAAGAATCGGTACGTTTACTGGCGATCAGATTGTTAACGAAGTGGCTGTTCCCAGTCCTGAGTTGTGCATCCGAGGCTTTCGAGTCTTGTTATCGTGGCAGGCTGCCAAGTGGCAGCCTGGCAGCTGGCAGGCGATGATCGGTTGGTGTTTGTCTCGTGGGGCGCCAGAGGCGTGTGATCTTGGCTTACCTCGTTTATTACGTGAAGTATTTTACAGCGGAAGCGCTTTACAAATGGGAATGGGAAGCGGAATGGTGGTTCTTAGTTTGACTGCGCTGACAGCGGATGAAAAAAGCCAGCCTAAATAAAGGTACCTCGCTTTTGCCGTTTCTTCTTCGTAGTTCGTATTAAATAATCTTTCACGATCACCAGATGGTTGTGCTTTCATTAGTTAAATCAGCTTTCTTTGTAAATTTATCTCTGCTTTCTGTTTTCTTTATTAAGTGTTTTATTTTCTAATTGTTAAACTTTACAACACGCACATTACCGAGTTCATTCCATTAAAATTTTAGGCTGAATACTTACTGTATAATCCTTACTATTTAACAGCGCTTTCTGTTAACTGGTTCAAGCTTTACAGTGATTTGCGTATTCCGGTCATCCAGATACTTCAAACGTGTTACGGCCTAATGAAATTATCAACTGAGAAATATTACGGAGGATTATGAATGATCATGCACATGGATATGTTTCTGGTGCGGCTATAACAGCAGTATCTGTATTTTCATCTCTCTGCAAGCTTACAGCCTGTACTAAACCAATACGGTGTTTGTAAAACGTGCAAGATGTGTGATGTGACTGTTCTGCAACTTTTTCTTGGGCTGTTGCAGTGCAAATACTTACAAAGAAACCATCACGTTTTTTCGCTCATCCTGTTAACGCGCAGGAACATTTATTTTAAATAGTTATAATCTCTACCTGTGATCAAAACTCTGCTTTAATTTTCTGCAGGTGCACTAGCCGAGTGAAATGTGTGCTACCGCAATATCTCTTTGTATTTGTTGCTTAACGATATTGGTGTGTACGTGTTTTCCAGTGAAGATGCTTTTAAAAATTCAGAAGAGTGAACTCGGGCGTTATCTTCCTGGACGTATCCACATGCGCTGCATGCACGGCAGGCTGGATCATGGATGGAACGGTTGAACGATCAACCAGTTCACGGTTCAAAGTCAACGAGTTTCCGGCGGACACACTGCGACTTTCGATTGTGAAGTAGCCGCGCCTCAGTGCCAGCACGTTAGAGGGATGGCACTGGCTACCAGGTACCTCGTAAGATGTTTATTCGTGTGGATACGTAATAATATGTTCGTCATGTAATAATCAGTCAAGTTGAGTCAACTGAATCGTCCGTATTCCGTAATCTATTTATCTATTATTTGTGTGCGAAATACTACGCTAGCACGCGTCGATACGATTTCTACAGCACATAACACCCAAACGTTCCTTCGCAAGGTGCTTAGCGAACGTAAAAGAGGACCGCATTCGTAAATGGCCGCTATCTTCGGCCGTTTTGCCAACGTTACTTTCTCATTGATTCTTAAAACCACAAACTGGTAGCCAAAAAGTGCTTAATCGACCACCATCTGACTACCAATGATGGGGAGACAGCGCCGTGAACTTGACCTTACAGTCTGCATTAATGCCAATCAAAAGTACCGGTCCCAGCTGCACATGCTTTGAAGCGATCTACTGTACACTGCAGATAGGTACAATATTAAAGACAGTCAGAATAACCACTCACGAGACGATACATCTGAGAACCACTGAGAAAAATCTGAGCCGTTATATTTGTCGATAAATCTATTGAGCATTCGCTCTCCCGCGGGCGCCGTCCGGCGTCCGCACCGCCTCGATCTCCTCCAGCATTCGGCGCCGTTTATACTCCCGGAACTCCTCCATCAGCACCTGACACCGCGTCTTCACCGGCACTCCCACCCCCGCAGGCTGCGGCTCCAGGTGCGCGGAGTGGGAGCGGCGCCTCGCGGCCGCTTTTGTCCCCAAGGGGTGGCGGTGGCGTAGAGACTCCGCTGAACCTGGACGCCGAGCCCGACGGCGACTGGTCGGTGGCGTTCTGCGAGGTCATGTTCAGCGCCACGCCCGAGTGGGCGCAAATATCCCCGTCTAGGTGCTCCTAGGAGCGCGAGCACAGGCTCTGGATGGTCTCATGCAACTGATCGCGGTCATAGTCGCCGGCTGGAGGGTTCTCCAAGAAGCCCAGCCGGTGGAGGCCCTCCAAGGGGGAGTAGGGTTCGGGATGACGGAGGACGGCGACCTGGCGCTGCTGTTCCGGGAGGGATAGGCGCAGGGCGCGGATGCAGGGGCGGATGGTCATGCAGTCGCTGCTGGCGCCGGTGAGGGCGCTGCGGGATTTCGGGGGGTGTCCGTGATCGATGTAGTGATCTGCACGGGGTAGCTGCGCTTGTGCAACGGTTTCCGCGGGAGGACGGTGTCAGGGCTGGCGTAGGTGGCGCCGCGCCGCCGCCGTAGTCGTCCTGCGTAGGTAAATTATTTAATTGTATGTACTATGTAGGTTACTGTGTGCTATGGACAGATGTAATTCAGATTATATTAATCAGCACTCTTAACTTTTATACACGTGTGCGCGTACAGTTCATTCTGCTAAAAGAACCCCTTTTTGAATTTGGTCTGATAACGTTACGCGTGATATCATAATCCAGAGCTCACCACTTTCAGCTGAATTTTATTGCAGATTTATGTAATCTTCTGGCCGATTTAATACGATGCGTGCTACTCCGCTGCTGCAATATTTTGTAATTTTCTCGTGCTTATATTATGGCAATTACGCAAGCAGTTCACTGTTGTTGCTTTTCAGTGGAAGATAAAATTACGGACTATCAATGCGGACTGCGGCGTTATCTTCTTGGATGAAGCAACGTGTGTTGCCCACATCGTTATATAGCTGGTTGGAAGGGGTGAGCGTTTGGCCAGCTCACAGTTCAAGGTCAGCGAGTTTCCGGCGGAAATTCTCTGGTCTTTAACGGTGAAGTAGCCTCGCATCAGCGCCCACGCAGTGGTGGGATGTTGGAAAGTGGACGCGCCGTGGTGACCTCGTTAAAAGGGATTCTGTGAGTTATTCGTTAACTAATTTTTATAGTTAATACTATGGCAATCTAATCATACTCGTACAGAGGCTGCTTATCTGGCTGAAGTTTGTTTTGGCCGTTTGCGATCATTTTTTCAAGGAAACGATAGATCCAGATAGCGTCATCAATCGGTACCGAGCTGGCACGCCCGGAATTCTGACGGTCAGGCTTACCATGCCCTTGACCGGGTCACGGCGTAATATGAGAAGTGCAGCTTAAACAAGCGTAATTTACCGAAAGTGAGTGATAGTGCATATACTGCATACTACGGTCCGTTAAGCGCTAATAAATGACCATGTCGATCCGAGATGCACGTGCCGGGAAACAGCAACACTGGAGGATGGCCAGATAAGACTGGCTGATTCACCACGCACCAGGCGGAAATGTTGCTCTGCCTATTAGCACAAATTTGTGTACCACAGCATTCCATTTCCTTCCTTATCTGCAGACTGTACTGTTTTGTAGTGTAGTAGTTTTGCAGAGCGCATACTCCACGCGATGTAGCTGTCGCTGAGGTTCTCCACATCCACATTCCTCGCTGAACTTGCAGTCTATCGAGACCTAAATCCTGAATATGCTATCTCTTCCACCAGTTCAGCATAATGTTGTCCTGCAGTTTTATATCAGTATGACTGTCCGTGCAACTGCGCTCTTTGCGCACTCACTGCAGAGGTATCCCTTTGTAGTCATCTCCACGTCTTTCAACTTGCGCAACTTCAACTTAAGCAGCTCCATAAGCGGACAAGTTATCTAGGTGATCGGTATTGTGGTGTGTTACCTTGCGCAAAACCGGGGACGTTTACTTGCCAACGAAGTGTCTATTGCCAGTTATGAGCTGCGTATGCATGATATCCGAGGCTTCTGATCCTTGTTATCGTGGCTGGGGATAATCGTTTGGTGGTACATCGAAGCGTGTTTTTTGGTGTGCCGTAGCAATTGTGGCACAAGTGGCGAAAGGTACCGATCCGCCGCTGCGTCCCCCCGTCTCCGGCGATGCCTGCCCACCGGAACTCCGCAGCATCATGGAGCACTCGTGGAGTGATGCACCGGAGTCGCGTCCCACCTTGAAAGACATTAAAGGCCAGCTGAAGAAAATCCCCGGCGCTGAGCAAAGCAATCTCATGGACAGACAATCTGATGAAGCGTATGGAAGCATACGCCACGGATCTGGAAGGTCTTGTCATGCTGCGTACGGAGAAGGTCTATCAGGAAAAGCAGAAGTCGGAAAATCTCCTGTTCGAGGTGTTGCCACGGTATGAGTTGCGGTACCAAACATCGTAACGGCAGGTCTGTAATCGAGAATGTGTTCTGGATTAGATCGGTGGCGAACCGCTTGAAGCAAGGAGAAACCGTGGAACCAGAAGCGTACGACGAGTGCTGCATTTATTTCAACGACATTTTCGCATTCACCACGCTGTCGGCGTCTAGCACGCCGTTGCAAGTGCTTGATCTGTTGAATGACCTTTGCAGTGAGTACACGCTTGCAGTGCATGGCATGTTAAGCTTTTAACTTAACCGAGGCACTTCAGTTTTGTTTAATTTTAATTTTATTAATGCGCTCAATGTTTTAGCACTGTTCGGCGGCGTTCTGGATGGTTTCGATGTGTATAAAGTGGAAACGATTGGCGATGCATAGCGCATATATGGTAAACAGCACAGCCTGATATAGTTGTTTGTATAATTTGCAGACACTAATGACCGTTGGTGATTTGCCCAATTTAACAGGTGGTCAGTGGCTGCCCATCCGCAAAGGTAATCTGCACGCTCGCGAAATCGCTCGCACCTCCCTGATGCTGATGGAAGGGATCAAACTTTAGATCCGCCATCGTCCCACGAAGCAACTGAAACTGCGTATTGGGAATCACTCCGGACCCGCTGTCACTGGAGTCGTGGGACTGCAGATGCCACGTTACTGCTTGTAAGCATGCCGTCAATATCTTGTAAAACGTACGTAGGTGTATTTTCTAGGAAAGTGTAACCAACTACCAGAACATCACCCATGACTACTTGTTCAGCATTTTGGGCTTCGAGACTCTAGAACCCAATGGACCGGAAGCTACCCGCCTGCTTACGGAAGTGGGTGGGAGGGTACGGCAAGAAACCGGCGAGGCACGAGCATCGGAATAACTACGCCACCGTATCAGCATAGAAATCCAGCGCGGGAACGCGTTCAGGGAACAACTCCATCCGGAGCAAATTGAAATTTAAATCAGTTGTTCCATGTTCTCAGGCCTCCCGAGGCCGTTTTGTGTTGAGAGAGTGTACTGCATGTGTTGTGATGTTAATTGTTTTTTTCTATGAGCGGAATGGGTATACTAAAAAATATACTTTATCATCGACTCAAGCATACCACGCAAATCTTGTAGCGCATGTAAAAACAAACGAAACGCATTTATGTACGGTTCTGTGTAAAAATTGCCAAGCTTATTATGATGCGTGCAGAATGTCACAGTTGGAAGGGTTAATATTAGGTTCGGAGTTACGGTGACGATTGCCAACAAAACGGAAAGCGTGGGAGAAGGTATACGTTATACAGCGAGAGCCAGAATACCAGAACTCGTTATCTCATAAAAGTAATAAAAGCTTTAATGCCTATGTTCGAGAAACGCCGACAAATGGTTTGGGCATTGGCCAGCCTCAGCTCGGCCGCGGAGTTTCGTGGTATCGTCAGAACATGCACGGCCACCGATAAATTAAAGAGTGTAGGCGTATGCGCGTGTATGCCATCGAAGACACCTGATGCGTGGCCAGGTGTTCTCCCACTCCGAGAGTTGAGGCCACCACCTGATGCGTGACCAGGTGCTTCTCCCGATTCGTGGCCAGTGGGATGAGACTGCCTCCCGGTGGGGGGACTGCAGCAACGCGCATTCGTTCTACGGTAATTACCAGGAGTTTTTATTGTTTTTACTAGAATGAGTGCTGGTGTCGAGAGCGGTGTCAAATAGCCAACAGGCAGAACCGAAGTCGAACATCGCCGTGGTCCGTAGGTGTCCATGGCCTCACGGACCGGGGCCTTGGACATGGCCGAAATGGGAAGGGTATTGCCGTGGCCTTGACCGCGCAGTTGACAGCCAAATAAGCAGTGCAATAAAGGCGAAACTGAGAATTCGACTTCATAACGCCGGTAAGCGCGAACGCGACCATGCCGCTCCCAGCTTCAGACGACGGAAAAGCATCAACACTGGAGCATGACAAGATAAGAGTGGCTGATTCACCAGGCAGCATGCAGGCAGTGCTGTTACCGCTGTGATAGTGCATATCAAAGCGTTCTTTATCTACAAAATTAAGTGTAGTTTTCCTCCAATCTGGCTCACCAAAATCGTAAACATCTTTTTCCTGTGCATTATTTTCAGTTTTGTTCATCACTCGCTGATAAAGAGAATCTGGGAGCATACAAAAACGAATGCATACAAAAACGAATGCTTCCGATATTTATTTGACATTATGGGTTTACGGATCACATGTACAGTACTGCACTACGTTGGCTTCTGGCGGATACATTTCTTATATTTTCTGGATTGCAATTATATGTTGTGTAATATGGTGTTCAGGATGCGGGAATATGTTGCGAATTTTCCGATGATCATTCTGGCTTGGCGCATGACGCTTTCGCCCATATCACAAAACTGCTTGTACGTACAATTATTTATAATTATTATTCATAAAGTTAGTATCTGTTTTTTAAGCTTAGACAACCGGCTATTTTCTTTGTGCTACAGGATAAAAAAATTTGTAGAAATATACGCAAAGCTTAATTCTAACAAGTTAGTTATAATAATATTATGCCAAAACCCATTAAAAAATATTTTCGGATCATGCATGCTTGGATCAAAATTCGAACCCCCGGTCTGATTGTACTGCCTGTAGTATAACCCAGTAGAATTTACGTTGTATCAATTATGTATACAACGATTTCCTAGGATGATGTTTTACGGGGATAAATAAATATAAGCAGTTAACTGTGGTACGAGAATTATGCAATACGGGAACGTTCCTGTCATTTTACGTGTGTCGTGCACAAAACAGAAAACAGCACCAGCATCGGCTAATTTGGATGAGATATTGTTCTGTATAATCAGGCCGCCTATTTCTGCTGTCGGCTGAGGCTGTGAAATTAGTGTATCCCTATTATGATAAAAAAATTGTAACTTTTGTTTACCGCCAATTAATAAAGATGACATGAAAGGGTAAAAACAGAAAAAGGTATTTTCAAACGAATTAATGGATCATTTGGAAATTAGCTGGCTTGGTTTTCATCCGATCTTGCAGAATTGCTCGTACAATCATACATATGAATACGCATATATTAATTATTATTGTACAGCATTTTTCCAATGTACCTGTAACCTGGATAATCTGCCTGTATTGCTCTGGAGATTTCAACTGAATACTTCGTACGAAATGTGAAAGCGCTGAGTAAATTCGGTAAATGCCCCGTACAACGCTATGCAAAAATCCGGAAGACAATCATTATTAAATATCACGTGAACCCCATTAATTAAACTGTTGAAGTGCATCCAACGATTCCAACCATCACTGAATATCACGAGTTTATTTTTCGCGCTGCCTAATTTAATATTTTACTGTTTATTTGTGAATTGTGGTTGCAATTTGGGATTTCGGTTTTTGATGTACGACTCAGTACGAGTTTTTCATGTACTATACGTCCTCGGTTAATATCCAACAAAATTAGCTAATTTAACACTAACGGTATATTATTGCAAGGAAAGTCTGCGGCAGTCTCCACTAGAGCAAAGCCGCTTTACTTTTAAAAAAGTGAGATAGCAATTTCGGCAGCCTTTGATGTTCAGTCGAAAACCTAAACCAGACGTTCTTCCTGGAGAGAACAGCGCACTGGGCATTTTTTTATCTTCTGGCTGTTGGGAAGTGTCTGCTACCTAGTGGCTTGCAGCGTTTTTGTCCGTGTATCTGTATAGGAATTTGGCGATAAAATCAAACTTTATCATTACCATTAAACGTAAGTCGAAAAAAATGTTCTTTAAAGTTTCGTCATAACTCGTCAGTTTTTCATGTGCATAACCATGCTAATACGTCATCTGCATTGAGCATTCATAAAATGGAAACTGCAAAAATAGACAAATTTAAAAGGATTTTAAAAAAATCTGCCAAAGGCAGTCCGTTGCCGAAATGTAATGAAAATATTAATTATAATTTTGCTTAATTATTATGGTTTTTCTGTCTTATTGTTGACGTTAACCAGCGAGCGCTAGTAGAAGCCAGCATCTCGCAGATGTCTGGTTTTATTTTCTGTAATTCCTGATTTCCCCGAATTGTCTGGAAAGTTTTGGTGGAATTTCTGTCTGGAATTAGCGACGCGGGAAGGGCAGTATACGTCATGGAGGTGTGGGTAGTCGGAACGCCGTGACGTTTCGCTGTGGGCTGGTACCGGCTCGATTGCTGCCACCGCTAATTGGCTGTTGCAGTACGAACGCCTCCCGGTGTTTCCCATTTGCGCAATTTCCTGCGTTCGGGGCGGGGACATCTCCGTCAGCGCGATTAACGCAGGCAACAGGTATAGCCGTACGGCCGCGTGCATTCGAGCGGAGAGTCGAAATTTTCAGCCAGTCATTCCACTTGCTCAACGTTTCCCTGATTTTCCAAATTTTACCGTACGATTTCACGATTTTTTACCTCGATCATTAAACCGACTTTTTCGTTGTTAGAACTTCAGTAACGAGCAAAGCGTAAAACCATACTGATTTGTATAAAGCCCTATTATCATTGCTCCATAATATCACCACAGTCTACTACTGTAGTCCGTCTTCTTCTGTCTGCCGCTCTATCTGCAACTCGTCGATGTTAAAGGACAAAAATGTAATTAGCGTTGCTCTCACTAAATGGAGTTGAGGAGATGGGGTAATAGAGTAGCTTCGAAGATTCAATTGAACCTTTTCTCCTGCGCATTATGATATACAGGCACTTTTCAATAATCCCAGACAGCGCGCTGCGCACACTATGATATCACTTTGCAGTAAGCCATAAAGGTGATCATTAAACCAACCGTTGTACGTGTGCTTCCAGGTATCGAAAACCAGAGAAACGCTCCGACGCCATTCCCATGCCCGATCGTCCGCCTTCAGTGTTTGAAGATTTCCATTGGATTCGGTGAGTGTTTTGGTTTCTTTCTGTCAGGATTTAGCTGTTTCCTGCAACTGCTGATAGCGATTTATGTGAATTTTCTTGAAATTTGCGTAGAAATTGGTACGATCTATTCGTGTGATTTTGGTACTTAATTCTTCCCCGTTATGCTGGCGAATATTTCGTATTTTTGTCTCGTCTAGCGTACAGCAACGTTTGATATCGTTTCGATTTTTTATAACGTTAGTTTCTGTCTTGCTCAGTGCTGTTCAGAAGATGGAATTAAGCTAAGTAATAAGTCGTCAAGGGCACATTTTCTTCTCCTAGTTAGACCAGCCTTTAAATGCGTCCATTTGCGTAGAGGCTCGTTTGTATGAAATTGTACGGTAGCAGGAAAGTTTTATTAAGTAATGAATCGTGGTACTATGGTATTAAAAGATAGGAGAGTTTTTAATAGAAAATTTTCGTGTTTGTCTGGAAAACCGAAGAACCTCGGCGGCGTTAGGGTGATGCAAGCGAGCCGTGCGGTTCTTGTGTCGAGCAGGGACGTAGTTGCAACGGTTGGCAGCAAGTCGGGAAAACGGCGGGCTACTTTGCGCACGTCGCGCGTCGCGTACGGGCGCGTGGTGTTGGCGTTGCGCACATGTGAGCAGCGCGAGTAGGAGTTGCAATCGAAACCGATTTTTGAAATCGATTTTGAAATTTTCAGAATACCAAAACATTTTCCAGTAGCTTTTAAAGTCTCCCAAATGGAGTTTGGCTACTGTTGCTCGATAATAATAATAATAGTACGTAATTTTGTTATTGACGCTAGTGTTGTACATTGTGTACGTAGTGTTGCTTATCGTTACTTGGCACATGTACTGATGCAGTCGGGTTCAGCATACATACCATGGGCGTTAGATAAAACTTCTTAATATATGCACTCAATTAGAGTTTTAATTCCCTTATTAGTGCTTAATTTAAAAATTACTTAATTCCAAATTTCTGGTTAGAATTACTGACCTTTTTTTGTTATCGAATGATAAGAAAGCATAGACCTTTACGCTTCGATTCTTTTAAAATTTTCGAAGTCCTTAATTAAAAGCGGCGCTTTTTCATTGAATGTGTTAGTCTGCAGCTAATTAAACGTTGGTTTCTTGCTGTTCGAAGTAATGTGTATTGTGTACATTGTTCCGCGTTTGTCACGTATCGGGACTATATTCAGGCCCGTCTTTATGAGGGGGGGGGGCGCACTGGCGCGCGACTTCTGTTTGCAGTTGAGATGGCGCTGAATCTTTGTGTGTCCATGGCCTGCGCCTTTGCCGTCCCGTGCGTGATGATACGCCAATAATTTCCACCGGAACCGTTAACGCGGCGATTTGGAAACTCACCGAGGCAGCGATGATCGGCCCTTGGTTTGCGCTGTAGTGGGCCTCGCCGAGGCCCACTACAGTTCAAAACAAGGCCCGATCATGAACGCGACGGTGATCACGGCCCCCGTCATGACTTTCCTCGGCGGAGTTACTAGGGCGTTCGAAGTAAGTATCGGTTTTGATTTATGCGGCATTCTGCATTTTAATGTCAGCCGCTGGGTCGCGGCAAGCGTAAGTTAACTTGCAGCGTATTGAAAACATACTGACAAAACTGGGAGAACACATATTTTGCGAATGCGGCCGGCAAATTGGTACAGTAGTTAATAGTTATTCTAACATGCAATGAACAGCAACGAGCTCGTACTCGAACTGCAATGAGCTAGTACTCGTACTTAAATGGAAGTTAATACGGTACTCGTACTGACGTAATTAATAAATTCAAAAAATTTACCATATTTTGGAAACTTCGTAATAACACCACAGTGCCTTGTTATTAGTATGATGTGCTTGAGCACGACACTTTGATTCGATATTCCACTTGCGGGCTCTATTTCCATGGTGACTATTTGCGCAACGTATTGTATTGCAGATGAAGACCGGATCCCGTCACCTCGTGGCCCGAGCGGGGATTATGCGGAAGCCCAGCCAGGTACATTCGCATTTGTGCTCAGTACTCTGTGCATGTGAACCTTGAACTCGCACCATCTAACCATCATGGGTTATCTTCTTTAAAAATACTACTGCGTCGAAGGGAAGCCTGGCCGGAAACGCCCCAGGAGCTGAAGGCCAAAGGAAGCAGGCCCGCACATTTACGGAGACGATAACGTCTTGGTCGCTGTCCAAGCCGAAACCGAACGGCCACTTCCGTTTTTGGAAACGGTACTGGCCGTTCGGATTCGGCTTGGACGATCAGGATCCTGATCGCCACGCTGGACTTCATTAACGCTAAGCCGCAGACACTAGGCAACTGGTTGGAAAGATGACGACGAAATTGTCGTCCGACATGGAAGGGATTCGAGTTCGGCTGGTAGAACTGTCCGCCGTCGTGGCCGGGCTGGCGGCCGAGGTGGAGCGCCTTGGTGTCTGGTGCTGAAGTTGGCGAAGAACGTGGGTGCCATGGCAGCCGACATGGCACTCACGTCCTTCGCCAACTGATGCGATGGACGAAGCGTGATGTGGCCGGACTCATGCGTGACGTCGCAGAGCTAAAAGCTTTGATGGTCGGATTGTATGCCCATCTCTGCATTCCCGTGGTCGCGGCCCAGTTGGGAAATATCCCTGCTAATTTTGCCCAGTATTTTTCTTTGTATGTATTTATTCCTTTTGGGTACAGTAATTTTTGGCGTTTTCTCGCCTGGTTTCTTCTGTTACCGGGTCAAGAGCCCGTTTTTTGTTGTTCAAATATTTGTCCAATCAGCTCTGCTGCATGCTGTTCAAGCGGACATGCTTAAAAGCGTAAAAAAACGCGGTTTTGCCAGCCGGTTTCTGTTCCCGTATAAAAACTTGAGTATACCAGGGCAGCAGCAAGTGTTTTGTGACTTATTTTTCTAATAACTAGTTGTTAACAAGGAATCCTCCTTCCCAATATTCAGGTGTTATGAACAAATTACATAATTATTTTAACAAATTTGGTTCACATTAAATTTGTTGCGCAGCAGCGGTCAAAAGTCGAAATATTTTCCATTCTGTCATGGTCAGTTGCCGCATACCGGTTCCTTCAAGAGTGTAAGTAACTGCCAGTAAAATTAATCATAATTTTAATGGTTTATCGTAAATAGTCGAGTTTCGCGTTCGTAATGGGAATTAACGCATAAAATAAGTTTGATTAGGAACTTGGGAATCATGCGCGAACACCAAGCATGCACATGCTTACCGAAAACAGCCCGGCACGAAACCCTTTAATAAGAATAACTTTATTGAAGATATGTTCAAATACAATTTACTAAATGCAGCACTGAGCATGCCTCGTATTGTGCCATGACTGCCGGAGTTTCCGCTACCCAGCCGAATTGTTAATTGGATTGATTTTACCGATTGCATAATTATGGCCATCTAAAAGTGGAATGACGGCTCACAAGACTCTCCAGTCTGTAGAGAACGATTGCTGCCTAAACTACAGGTCATTACCATCTTTTTGGGTGCGTACCGCTTCATCGCTATGAAAAGTGCGACTATAATGTGATTTCCGCAGTATCTGGTGTTCTAAAAAAAATTCAAATTTTCCTAAGATTTGAGCTATTATGAAAGGGAAGACTTTGCAGTTACATACATAAAAAAGCTTATTGACTTATTTCGCAGCAAATTTTTCACGTTTTAATGGTCAGCAATAATTCTGAATTGCCGATATGTAAATCTTTTGCAGGAAGTACAGATACGAGCATATAAAGCATGCAGTAAAAAAAAGCTGTAGCTGTAAAAAGTAGGTCGTACATAAAGCATGCAGTAATCTACCAGTCTGTTGACTGCCCTTGTATCTTTCGTGATCACAACTTCCGTGTTTCCGGAAGCAGTTATTTAAACAGTGTGTCTCATGCCGCGTGTTATTTCTGAGTACTCAGCGAGTAAGCGACTCATCAGTCATCAGACACCATCGTTAACGGTAGTCGATACGCAAAGGGTGTCCTAACTGCCAGCAGCGCTACAACGAAGCAAGGTAACTGTATACCAATTATCTTTGACAGTCGGTGAGCGCTCCTCCGACCCATTATTTTGATAGGCTGCGTGGCATTACATAAACGGACATGCCCCATTTGTGCCGGTAGCTCCGGAGCGGGACACCTCAATGGAAATACGAAACCAGTGCGATTGTCGATGGAAGAGGACACCTTCCTGTGTCAGAGCTTTGAGCATTCAGCGCGGCGAGTTATCATTAAACGCCTCTTTTTTTATGCGTTCAAAATAATAAATATAATCGTAGCGACGTAGATAAGAACAACATACATAGCAATCCGCTGGATCCTAGTAGGGATTACGTCAGTATACAGTAGTCAGGTACCCAAATCAACTGCCTTGCGTCCCATTTACTAGTCTCCTTAAATGTTACAGCCAATGGCCGAGCGGGATCGAGGTGCAGGGCCGGACAGAGTATTTTCCGTCTGAGCCAGTCGCTTGTCTGTGTACTGTGCGACTTACTGTACATACGATGTACGTAGCCAAAGTAGATGCGTAACAAAATCGATTTGATCGCTGATCACGCTTTATTCAAGTGTTAGTTCCCGCTGCCATCATTTACGGTTAATATTAGTATTTCTTGAAAGTTTATGCGGCGTTCTCGTAATGCACAGCGTGACCCTTGAGTGGCTCTTGCAGAAATGTCGTATACAGCAATCGCTGTTGTGACCTTTGTTGCTGCTGTCGTCTGTAGCTCACCGGTGAACGTTATCTTATTCGAGATCGGTCTGGGTGGCAACCGCACCGCCACGTCGTATCTGAACGTGGCTCCCGCGTTCAGTCTCGCTGAACAGCAGTTAAATGCCCGCTATGGAGAGAATATGAAGTTCATGCACGTGCATAAATATGATAAGAATATCTCTGTATGTGTTCTGGACGAGAAAAAGGAGTTATGGGCCTGGACACCAAAGCCACGTTCTGGACAACCAAGTTTTATTACCGAGAACGCTTGTCTAACGATACCGTTATGGCCATTTCGGACCCGGTTAGTGGCGTTCATTAATTTTTGCAAATTGTATATACTTATTCAGTGCCTTTTAGTTTGCATGGTTGTACTGAATTGAAATTAACCGTGACCATAAGTTGTGATCGTTTAATTACTATTCAAAGTTAAGTATTTATGAAACCAACATGCCTCACCACACCGGTAAATCTGATTAGCGCTACTATGCGCCACTATGACATAACATTTAAAAAATCAAAGCAAGTTACAACTTACGAAATTTCATATTAATTATATTTTCATAAATTTAATTGCAACAAGAGGTAGTACGTGCGTTGGTATAATTAGGAATTTGGAACAGTCATAAAATAAATAAAATACATTGTTTTGCTTGGCATTGGCATTAGGATGTAATATACTCTGGTTGCCATCAAGGCAAAAGCATTAATCACACCACTGTTAGTGATAAAAGGATCAGATCTATTGCGTCTAGAATGTCCTTTCCGCGGTGCAGTTACAGTACACCAAATATTCGTTAGTGCTTATGGTTGGTACTTGGCAGTACGTTGCGCCCGTCTTCGTCGTTATCATTTAGGATTTAAATCGCTAGATTTCGGAAATGTAGTTCATGGTCACCTTTCAGGTTATCGCGCAGTCAGCGGTATTAAAATTAAATATATCGAGTATATGTTGTTTAACTGTTCTGCTGTAAGCAAATGGACCTGTTTGTAGGTTGCAGCATTTCAGGAAACTCTGTTGCCAGTTTAGCCAAAGGTCAGAGCATTTTTTAATCCTTACCTGAAATGCATTACGATTACTTTGTGAAGATAACTTGCCAATGCTTCTCTTGCAGCTTGGGACAAGCCTCTGATCTTTGGGTAACAGCGCCTTTGTGTAGAATTTCATTACGGAAATAACCTCAGTTAACTGCGGATATGCACGCTTAATTTCAGGGTCCCAGGCAGTGCGCTGGCTTTCAACAAAACACGGTATCCCACCCTGACGCGTTTGTCGCCCTATACACCGGAAAACCTCATCAGCTTTCTCTTGAAACTTCTGGGGAAGTATCAGTATAATTCCATCGGAGTGCTTTGTGACGCATCCAATGATCACCTTTCTCTGTTCCTTCCTCTGTGCCTGGAGCTGAAAAATCCGGATAAGCCGATACTAACCAAGAACAACATTAACGCATCGCATTATTTGGTCAACTCCGACGAGAAGAGGAATCTGTCCGATTACCTGGGCCAGCTTCGCTTGGTAACGAGAGGTATGTACGCTTTTAACCAGGAATTCAGTGTTCGTGTTAATTTGACAATTTGTTCTGGACAAAAAACATAAAAATTAATAGGAGCGCAACATTGCAACAGCGGTTGATTTCAAACTGCTCTTGGCTTCTGCTTGCAGTGATTTTTATTGTTGCTGAAAGCAAACGCTTCCGCCAAATTATGGTACGTAAAAACATAGCTTCCGAAAATAAAAAATTTAGATGATGCTCGACTGCAGAGTAAAAGCGAAAAAATATGAGCGATAGTCTACGATCAACAGCAACCGAATACCTATACCGAATACTTGTATACGTACTTCCGCTGAAAAAATTTGTTGCTTAATTTACAGTTAATGGCATCGGAGAAGAACATGACAAATGGCGAATATGTAAGCTTTTCCTAGGCCGTAGCATTCCTTGGCAGAGTTGTACTGGCTTTAGGAATGCAATACTTTAGCTGATTTGCAGGTTTATTTCGCCCTTGAAGTGTATCGGAGTCCGACATTCTTCGGCAACAGCTCGTGGAATACCGGCAACACTGATGGACGAGACGAGGTAATCCTCCGACGTATCGCAGGCAAAAGTAAAAAATATACTTAAAAATAGGTAGAAACACGTATAACAGGAAATATGGATAGCAATAAATTAAATGGTACTAAATCCCAAAATTAAAAAAATAAGATCTGCTTACCGTTAGCGAGTCAAGGATGCAGATATTTAAAGATAAATTTGCTCATGATTCCGTGTTGGTTGAATGGGAACAGGAGGCCAAAGAAGCCTACAAGTCCATGTTTATCCTGTCACTACGAGATCACGCCAGCGACAAAACTACGCAGCAGCTTCTTGTCAATATCTCCAGTAGCGAACCTTACACACTGAACGGCTCCCGACCAAACCAACGGGAAACTGTTAGCAACCGTCAAACCGAACTGTTGTCCGTTACTGTTGTCCGTTACTGCTGTGCGTAATTATTTTATCTGTAGGCTAACCCTTTTGCATTGGGATTCTACGAGGCGCTTATGATTTACGGCCAAGTATGAATCTGTTTTTACTGCGTGATTATGTTGGATAAGTACTGACGGTTGAAGCGTGCAGGTGTTGAACGAGACCTACGCCAGCGGAGGAAATTTATCAGCCGGCGAACAGATATCCCATAAAATGTGGAATCGAACCTTCAATCTGGAGGGCAAACGTATTGTGATGAATGCCAACGGCGATCGGGAATCGGATTATTCGATTGCGCAGATGGATTACAGTACTGGTCAATTCCAGGTTAGCAATGCATCTGTGTAAGGTCACTACTGCAGGTATGACCGCGACAACCAAAATCGAGAATGCTCTCAATCTACAGTTCAATTTATGAAACGCTTCAGAGAGTCTCATACGCAAGAAACAACGAGATAAACTTAAAGCCGATTAAAAGCATTATAATTATGGCCCGATAATACTCCAGTACTGAATGAACGCGTTATAAATGTAGCAAGCATTGATAAACCATACTTTTAAACGCTTAGAGACAATTTGCATGCAAGTGTTCGAAGTATTCGTTTACTTTGCTACAGCCGGTGCTGGAGTACCGCGCGTACACCCAGCGTATCGACCCGGTGCTGACCAGTGAGGAAAAGAACGCGAAATCAAGTGGTACAACCGCGATTCGCCTCCGCCTAACCGGCCGCGCTGTGGATACCTCGGCAACGATGCAGTCTGCGTTCGGGGTACTTGTGACATATTTCTTAGCGTACTGTGACTTGTTCAGAAAATTGTTAATCGCGTCAGAGCAAAACATTATCCTGGCCGCGTCCGTCGTCTCGGCTGTGATTTTCGTGGGGATCGTCTCGGTTATTGCGTTACTCGTTTACCGGTGAGAATTCACTACTGTGAGAACGAAAAAACTTGTTTTGAGATGAGTATATTGCAGAAAGCGTAAACTGGAAGCGGCAATTAATGATCCATGGTGGAGAGTGCCTCCCGAGGAAATCAGCGCCAAATCAGACCGACATGGCCTTTCCGTGTCGATCAGTCGATTAAGCTTAGGCAATATGGTAAGCGCCATTTTGACGATTTTCTCTATTTCCAAAGGTCACCAACATAGAAGTCGTTTCTGTTTCACTGACTTTTCTCGTACTCCGCAGAGCGTCGCCGACGGAGCAAGCTCCGCTGGTGGGCATTCACAAGTGTTTGCGAAAACCGCGCAGTACAAGAACAAAGTGGTGTGCGTCAAGAAACTGCAGACATCCCGACGCTTCCACGCAACGCGCAAAGAACTGAAAGAAATCAAAAAGGTACTGATAGAACTTAAAAGAACATTCGATGGTCTGCTGTTGACATGTCATGGTTTTGAACTGCAGTTACATGACATCAACAACGACAACATGAACCCGTTGGTCGGTATCGCCGTCGAAGACGCCCAAGTACAAGTGCTGTTCGAATACTGTCAGAAAGGCAGTTTGGCCGATGTCCTGGAGAACGAGGCAATTAAGCTGGATTGGTCGTTCCGGTACTCGCTGATCGGTGACATTGTGTCGGTAATAAATTCTTTAAATAAATTACCGTAAAAACCAATGGAGAACGGCTGTGTTATGATGGATAGGGTTTGGCGTACCTCCACGATTCACCCATTAAATCACACGGCAACTTGACCAGCTCCAACTGTGTGATCGACAACCGGTTCGTACTGAAGATCACCGATTACGGCCTGGGTTTCCTCCAACCGTTCCTGAATAAGAATGTGGAACTGGCGAAAACAGACGAAGGCCGGCTGTTATGGCGTGCTCCGGAGCATTTGCGAGCACAGATGCCACCACAAGGAACCCCAGAAGGTCAGTTGGACGGTTATTCTTATTAAACCGTATCTGTAGGTGGTGTAAGTGTTGGGTAGATGAAGTTCTCTTGTTGGTTTATAGGCGATGTGTACAGTTTTGCGATCATCTTGCAAGAAATCGTTCTTCGATGTCATCCGTACGGTTCGCCGGATCCCGCTCGCTTACCTATGGAACCATACGGTACGTCTTACGTTGCAAACGTCTCGAATTGCAATAATGAAAGAAACTTCACAGTACGGTAATACAGCAAGGCAGTTGCCACCTGCCAAGTAACCCTTACAGTTTCTCCTGAATAAATTTTTGCAGTAATTTACGTAAGACTAAGCTGTACCGGGTTGCATTAAATACTTGATCTTGCAGGTATTATTTGCAACTAGGCACATGGTTTAAGTTTTAAGGCAATGTATAAGCATACGTTTTAGTTAGTTTTATCTTCTTAGGTATATATCTTTATTACAAACCATCACTTAAACACGTGTTAAAGAAGCAGTTACACAAACAACAACTCGTTAAACATTTCCGCTTTCTCCACCGTGCCCAAAACAGAAACCGCGTTACCACGCTGTATCTCTATAGACAGACGTTGTCGAAGAAATTCGTGCGAGCGGGCTTCTCCATACTTGATTAGATTATAGAATTAATAACAACGGTGAGATAATTAAGAGTTGCGTATATTGTAGCAATTGTGGCACAAGTGGCAAAAGGTACCGATCCGCCGCTGCGTCCCCATGTTTCCGGCGATGCCTGTCCACCGGAGCTGCGCAGTATCATGGAGCACTCGTGGAGCGAGGCACCGGAGGCGCGTCCCACCCTGAAAGACATCAAAGGCCAGCTGAAGAAGATCCCCGGCGCTGAGCAGGGCAATCTCATGGACAATCTCATGAAGCGCATGGAAGCCTAAGCCACGGATCTAGAAGGTCTTGTCATGCTGCGTACCGAGCAGGTCTATCAGGAGAAGCAGAAATCGGAGAATCTCCTGTTCGAAGTGTTGCCACGGTATGAGTTGCGGTAATAAGTATTTCATAACGGTAGTTTTGTAATTGAGTTTGCGTTCTGGATTAGGTCGGTGGCGAACCGCTTGAAGCAAGGAGAAACCGTGGAACCGGAAGCGTACGACGAGTGCTCCATTTATTTCAGCGACATTGTCGGGTTCACCACGCTGTCGGCGTCGAGCACGCCGTTGCAAGTGGTCGATCTGTTGAATGACCTTTACAGTAAGTAAACGCTTTCAACGCATAAACCTGAGACGCTACTTAACCAAAGCGCACCAGCTGGTTTCATTAATACAAATAATGCTTTCAACTTTTTAGCACTGTTCGACGGCATTCTGGATGGATTCGATGTGTACAAAGTGGAAACGATTGGGGATGCATACATGGTAAACTGCACGGATTTACACTACCGGTGATATAATTTGTGTACACCACTGACCATCGGTCTGATTTAACAGGTGGTCAGTGGACTGCCCATCCGCAACGGTAACCTGCACGCTCGCGAGATCGCTCGCACCTCCCTTATGCTGTTGGAGGGGATCAAACGCTTCAGAATCCGCCATCGTCCCACGGAGCAACTGCGACTGCGTATTGGCAATCACTCCGGACCCGCTGTCGCTGGGGTGGTGGGACTGAAGATGCCACGCTACTGCTTGTAAACATATAACCAAAATTATCTAATCGTAAAACTGTGCAGTTGCATCGTGGCGTCGATCCCGAGCACAGCGTGGACGAAAATAGATAATGACAAATAGACGAGACTCGCATATTGTAAACGATGTGCAATATAATATTACGAATTGCTCGTCTACTCTGTTCCTATTGCGTACGGAATATCACATACGTGTTGTTTCTTTAGATTTGGAGTTACGGTGACGATTGCCAACAAAATGGAAAGCATGGGCGAAGGTACACATAAACTATCACAAATCAGCGAAACTATTACAAATCCGTGAAGCATTAACGTAAACGTGATAAAAAATGTTAACGGGAGCGTTGTTGTTGATCACAGCTTTGAAAATCCACATTAGCGACGACAATAAAGTCATTCTGGATGGGTTCGGAACCTTCGACGTTACGTTGCGCGGTGAACTCGATGTCAAGGTAAATTTCCTCTCGCTGATCGGGCTAGTTTACAGTCTGTATTCCGTATCTGTATGATAGATCCACTTGCACGCATCCAATCCGCCATACTTATAGGTTATTTTGGCTATTTATTAGTTTGTCTTTGCAGGGAATTGGTCCAATGGTGACCTGGTGGCTTAACTCGGAAAATGTGGAAGAACCGCCACCGCTGGATGAAATCCCGCCATCTGGCTCGCAGACCACTGTGGAGGCCACTTTGGAGCACCCGGAATAAAAACAGACATCGCGGTAGAAACTAACGGGAAAGTGTGCATTTTAATAGATCTCATTGCTGAACAAAATTACGTTTTGCTACTCTATTTTTCGTAAATCCTTGTGGGCTTTCTGCCCTCGAAACCACGCTTCTGCACTTGTTAAGCATGCTGCTTGCCGATTGCACAGTCATTTGCGCGTAGCCATTCCGAATCATTAACTTATGTAACAAATACATAACTATTTTACTAGTACTGGTTGAGGTGTAATTAGAATTACCGCATCTTCAGTTATGCCGATGCATGTACTGCACTTTGTTCCTTTTACGCACGGTACTGCACAAAATGCACTACGTTTATCCCACAAGAACTATAACATTTGCTGGCAATGGAAGTATGATAGCCGTTTCAAATACGGCAGTTTTTGGAAAATTTTTAACCGTGAACGATCGTACAGAAAGCAAGAAGCAAGCAATACATCGCACTTTGCAGCTGGTTTGTATGATCATGAAAAACTAACAATACGAGTGGCTGAATTTTCAATCGGGTATACTGCAGGATAATTTATGTTACCAAAATGAATATTTTTTTTACAAAAAGGTAATAAACAGCAACTGCTTTCCAAAACACGGTTTGCAGAAAATTGCTACCATTACATAAAAGATTATTGCGAGGATTTAAGAATATGCGAAAAGATCGCTTTTGTTAATCGCAGTACTCTGTACTCAAAAAATCTACACTGATCTAGGCAAAACGTTTTTAATTCAAAACTAGGCTTTCTCTAAGCCGGCAAATTCCTACAATGTACGTAGCACGAAAGAAAGGAGGTGCGTCATTTTATGGCAAACTGTGCACAGACGCTAGTCTTCTCCACTTCAGTGCTGCTGATTCATTGCACTGTAGAGGTGCGTAATTACAGAGGCGCTCCTGTTGCACGCGTTTGTTGATTCAATTATCCAGTCTCTGAACGGCGGAGCGAGTGGCTCATTTCCATTCCTTTTTGTCCTCCATTCGAGAATCCCTTTTTCGGAAATGTTTTCCGTTCTAACCAACAGTATCCCGCCAAGGCCGCAATGCCGGTCACCACCATAATCAAAAGTTGAAAAGGCAAAGCTAATACGGTTGAGTATCCGGCTGCGATAACATTGCCAGTAGCCTACAATCCAAAGAACAGGTTACTAAACTGCAAACACGTGACTGCAGATTAAAGAAAAACTTTTATGTTGATGATAACATACCGTCATAAACTGATAGACTCCGAAAGCAGCAACCGTTTGAAAAGGATAAACGCTTCCCAAATATGCCATTAGCTACAAAGTATAAAGAGAAACAGGTATTACGTATAACATACGTGATACGTCTTGCAAGCTACAAGGGAAACAGTTCGTTAGATAATTAAGAGGAGTGACGCTGTACCGGGTACCAAACACATGTACGGGAACTTTTCTTTTAATTTCGCACATTTTTCGCATTGCTGTATGGCAATATGGGGTTACAAGAAACAGCCTCGGCTTCGCCTCCGCGTTTCTTGCGGTACCCAGTCTATGGCCGGTTTAGTCAAATGATTTCGATCAGCTATTTAGTTACCATCTTATTCCTTCAGCGAAACTAAGCTAAAATGCAGATAGGATAAAAAGTGAATTTATGGCTTTTGTGCACTTATGGTTAGACGCATTCACTTTCACACAGAAGGAATTTTGTAAACTTCTCCCTCCAGACCCCAAGTCTACCAGGTACTAAATTTGAAATTTCCACCGAAAGAATGCTTGCAATAGATTCTGGTGGTAGTTCGGTCACTCATTTTCCTAGCGGGCTTCTGGACAGTAATGGAGAGTTCGGTCACTTGCTCACCCTGCGGGGATCCATGCTCTGTACAGCAGCGGTAGTTCGGTCACTCGTTCACTTAGCGGACTGGGTGCTCTGGACAGCAGAGGTATTTGGGTCACTCGTTCACTTAGCAGGCTGTGTTCTGGACAGTAGTGGTACTTCGGTCACTCGTTCACCTAGCGGGCTGGGTGCTCTAGACAATAGTGGTACTTCGGTCACTCGTTCACCTAGCGGGCTGTGTGCTCTGGACAACAGCGGTAGTTCGGTCACTCGTTCACCTAGCGGGCTGTGTGCTCTAGACAGTAGTGGTAGTTCGGTCACAGGGGGGCTCTGTGAAACTAAGACCGTCTGGCCGGGTTTTGGAATATGAGCACTCAGATTACGGAAATGGTTTTTGCTGATTCTATACGGGAAAGCTGGGTTCGTGTATCCCTTTTTAATTTTTGTGGTAAAGATCTAGAATGTAGATACCGTATTATTCCGTATTATACGGAATAATTTAAGGACTGTATATGCTGATAATTAATCCCTGTCCTTAGTTTTGCTCGGACTGCAGTGAAAGGTCAGCCCGTTTAAACGATTACTATGGTCAGTTTGGTTTGCAGCTGCCTTCAAATGGCTTTAAGGGATTTGGCCCGGTACATAGCACTAAATTCGTGTACATTAACGGGAACTTTCGCTGTCGCGCACTCCCAAACACTTTTTTGCATTGCTTTATGATACTTTGTAGCCAAAAGAATTGTAGGCGCAGTTGTGAAATTCATTTGCGCGCGCGACATCCGGTTGCGTAGTTATGTGGGTAACAAAATTCCAAAAAGTTTAAATGCATTCAGGTGTACCAAAAGTCTCATTATGGACCGATCCCTTTCAAACTTTGCACGTAAATGCACATAACCACGAAGATTGTTTTGGTACGGATCCAGACTTCTACAATTTTTTTCGAATTTTAAAATGAATTTCAAAATTTTTAAAATTCATTTTAAAATTCGAAAAAATCTCGAATTCGAATTTGGTGCTATGTACCGGGCCAAATCCCTTAAACGAGACTTCTTATTCTTAAGGGAAGTGGGCCGGTACATGGTGTAAATTCGTCACCTGAAACCTTACACTTTCATGCACTCCCAAACACATTTTGTTTCGGTTTATGACTTTCTGTAGCCCGAAGATTTGTACACTGGCGTGAAAACCGTTTGTGCGCGCAACATCTGGTTCGGGAGTTATGGCTTTTAAGAAAATTCAAAAAGTTTAAACGCATTCAGGTGTACCAAAAGTCATTATGGACCGATCGCGCTCAAATTTTGCGTAAATGCGCATGTCTGTGAAGTTCGTTTTTACACCGATCCAGGCTTCCTTGATTTTTTCAAATTTTAAAATGAATTTTAAACTTTTTGGAAACTCATTTTAAAATTTGAAAAAATTACATAAGGACTAATGGATCGGATCATCGGTGTAGAAATGTTCTTCGCGGTTATGTGCATTTACGCAAAATTTGAGGAGATCGGTCGATATGAACTTTTGTTCACCTAATCATTCGCTTTATGAATTTTACAACTAACTCCCGAACCGGATGTTGGTACCATATACCGGCCCACTTCCCTTAAGTCATGTTTTTGAGCGCTTTAAATTGTTAACGATTTATTTAAACAGAGTCATTCACTAGCAGCATCGTTTTTGTTGCTGCTAATTGGCTTTTCTAGTTTTGTAGGAGAATAACCTTTATAATGTGTTGATCTAAAAAGGGTACCAGTTTAAATTTACTGGTTTCGTGCTCCATGCAACAGGACTTTGAAATTGTTTTCAAGGTCACCTTGAGCTTTCAGCTCTACCGGCACCGATGTCTCTGCACGGAAGCCGGAGCGGATAATTACCAAAACAAATGCATGTGACACAGTTTCCAGACATGCTGAATCGAATGGCGTTAGCAGTTTTTCGATTAATTTTTTGGTTTGTTCTGACCAGATCGTACGGGGTTTTCCGTTGTAATATAGATCTTTACCTTGATAGTATTCTGAATTGCGCGCGATTTCCCTGATACTCAAATTTGGTACCATGTATCGGGTCACTAGTTTTCGTTTTCCATCTCGACATCCATTGCATCGTATGGAAATAGGTTAATCGATTAGCCTAGAATAATTATTAATCACCTGATTGTTCCAAATTGCATCGCCTACGAAGAAAAACTGCATGTATACAACAGTTTCAATCAGTAAGATGGCATTTTCTATCTCACCGAATCCTATTAAAGCTGTGCAAAGCATGGCGATGTACGGACTGCAAAAGAGGAAAAATACGGTCCTGTTTAATGAAGTAAGAAAGACGTACCTAAAAAAACATAAAAGACGTAAGAAAAGCAAACGAAATTTTACAAGCGTAGATGTCACCCTAGTGCAACATGTACGCCAAAAACGCACATAGTTAAATTTACACACCTCGGTCCAATATAGGACATTTCACTGGTCATTTGTAGGGACGACAACGGGGGCATGTTCAAGAAGATCAAATAGAACGCTGTCAGATGCACGATAAATCCCGCGACTAGAAACACATCTCGCCCTTTCTTCTTCGACCAGGCACCAAAAATTCCTGGGAACACACCACCTGCAGCAATAATTTATAATGAAACTGCGCCTTTTCCTATAAGTCGCGGCGTATGACAGCACCTTTTATTTCTCCCACGCCTTGGAACACTCCATTCAGCCCAACGAGGGATTCTCGTACGTCTCCAAAAGCGCGGGTGTAACCCAGCGCTGTGCCGTTGATACTCGCCCAAAATGTTGATGTAAAACCTATCAAGATTTCGGAGCGTGACAAATCCGTATTTACCCATTTCGAGAAAAATCGTTTACCAATGTAGAAGAAATAAGGGATGAGCAACAGCATTCCCTTCTTACAACCCAAACGAATGGTAGCAGCTGCAAATCATTCGAAAACACGCTGACGAAAACCATCTGCTTACATATCCAGTGAACTAACAGGCCCATACCCAAAGCAGCTTTCGCTCCCACCGGCATTTGGTTGATCCTGTCAACAAAAACATTGAAGACATTTGTTTCCCGTTCAGACGGGTATTTGTCATAAGAAAAAATGTGATTTTCTCTATCATTATGAGCGGTTTTCGACTGCCATCGCAAGAGACAATTGAGGCAAAAACCGAAAAGAGCTGAAAAGGCGTAGCAGCAGTTTAACTTTGAAGGCTTACTTTTGCGTGTGTCTGTACTGCTTGGCATTCCATGGATGTTTTATCAGGATGAACACCAGCGTTCCTATTGTCGCAGTCACCGTCAGTGTACCAAAGACGGCTATCCGAGTGTGATCCTCGATTGTTGTCGCACCTCGCAGCATGAGATAGTAAAACGTACTTCCGGCTGGTAAACTATAAAAACTCCCATAAACGGTTTCAAGCTTCCACAAACAGCCGTGATGTACTGTACCACATCTGGGAAATCCCCCAAAATATCCCAGTATTCCTGCAAAAAAATTGGCGTAAATCAGAAAACAGAACAATCTATCATCAACAGTTACCCAACCTTTCTATCGTGTTTAATTTGGCGTAGAATGGCTTGTTAAGAAGTATCCTTGAACGGCCCAGACGATACCAACGCCGAAACCAGAAATGGCAGCACACACAAAAATCACCCAGTACACCGGTTTTATTAAACCGGCAATGTTGGCGATGACGGCAACTACAATATGAAAAACTTTCTCATATATTTTATCCAAATTGCTAAAATTTGAATGGTTTTGTAATAACTATCTGTGCACACTGCAGTAGCGCTCCAGAATCTATCTGTAAGTATATGTAATGCGTTAATTACTCGCACACGTTAATTAGGAATAGCTCGCACATACTGGATCCCAGCACCAAAGCAAATTTTGGTCCCATGAAAAAGCACTGCAAAAGTCAATCTGTCATTCGCACAAGGTCGTAATACTGTATAAGATAAGATAAGCGGAGGTTTATTGCATATTTTGCGATCTGGGGTCACTTACAAAAGAGGGACCAACCAAATAGGCGATGGCCTGAGACCCTGTAAACAAGGAAAACCTTATTTTAGGAAAATCTTCCATGGGCATTTTAGCTATCATCAATACCAAGGAAAGGAACAAGATGATGACCAAAATGCTGGACAACCCACCGCAGTTTACAGCCAAACAAAGGTATCCCAAGGTTGCATCGTCAAACACACTGTGCAACACCACGGTCTGGAAAAAGCGAAAGCTGGATTAGTAAACCCAAGATCAAGACAACCTTTAAACAACAGAGACTATCAATAAAAAGAGGGTCTGGGAAGTTCGTTTACATTACACACCTAAGCTTATTTCAGAGGTAGCCGATGTACTGTATAAACAATAAACGGGTAAACTGTTAGACTAAGGTTTTAGCTTCACTGAAGTATTCGCTTCTTTAATACCGAAGCATCTGCCGTTCTGCGAGCACTTGCACAGAATTAGCCTTTACCTGCGCCATTCCAGCGGTCAGTATGGATCCCATATTAAGCATAAAACCAAACCCCAGAAGAATGACGTTCATAAGACTCCGCCGCTTCGTACTACAAGGCTGATCTGGTAAACTTCTTAAACTGGGCGTTGCAGGGACACTATCAGCCAGCACATAGTGTGCGTAATCTGGCTCTTGGCAAAGAGCTGGCCCGCTAACGTCGTTCTTCTCCATTTTCCAACGTTGTCTTTGTAAATAGCCTGAACGACGAAATTCTCTAAACTTATCGCACTCTGGTATTACGACATTCACCGCTTGCCTATACAGTACACATGCGGCTAATAACCGAACTGTCCGGCGAATTATAACTCAGGGACAGTTCTCTATAGAGCATTCACTCATTTATAAGCATAACTTCTAGAACATAAACCTCTTGGCACAGTTTTTTTAAATTCTGGCTCTTTTAGAACTACAGTAAAACCTCTAGTTACATACACTTCTTTATTAAATCTTTTCCGGTATAACATACGAAACTGACGGAACCGTGCCTGTATTTTCAGAAGTTTTTATAGTTTACTTTTGTTTGGAAGTTTGTTACCGTGCCCGTTAACAAACTTCCGAGAAACTTCCGGCCTGGCGACGTTTTCGTATACTGCAAAATCTATGGCTCTGCCGTTTTAGCGTATCAGTAGGATTACCGCACAACTAATGGTCAGTACCGCACCATTTAATAAATATGAAGGTTTGTAAGACGTGACTGCTTGCTTCCGTGTCTCCTAAATAGTTGCCAATTGCCATTATAACGAGCAGTCGGATCCTTAAAGTATGAAAAATCCTCTTTTCTACAACTGTAAGTTTATTTGCAGTGTGCCTTGCAAAGTAAATTAGTACATACAAATAATACACATTTATAGCAACGAAATCCGTTGTTTTCGGCTTAGCTGAATTTCTTAAAGCGTGAATACGAGTACCGAAATCGGATTCTGTAGAAGGGACCATAATTTTGAACAAACAATATTAGAAATGTTGGATTTTATTAATTCTTTGCGCATGCGTTGTAGTGCTATCATTTGCATGGACCATACTCTTATGCTCGGTTCAATTAAAATTCTGTTATCAACCTTCTAAAAAAATTTGCATAGGTTTCTATGCAGTTTCTATGTATTACGCAGCAGTCGTTACGTCGCACGAAATGCAGTATGATAGTGTAACCGAGAAATTTTAGTTCCCCTAGGCCACAGTCATAAAAATTTTGGGTATCAGAAGAAAATAACAGTGCAGGTCACTTCCTCTTCGATACCTTGCGATAATTCTGCTGAATCATGGCGTCACGCAGTATGCCAGGCCAAACATGTGCATCTGAAATACAACGTAATAAATACTCATACAATAAACGCATGTTGTAACTTATAAAGTAAGAGAAGTTAGTTTTATATCTTTGTTTCTTATTTGATAGTTATTAGATCATGGTTAATAACATCCTACGCGTTCGCAGAAACCGTGCGTTTGTTCACCATTGTGAGGCAAGCCCAGTCGGTTTTACAGACCGGATAATTTCTAAATCTACATACCGCTATATAATAGACCCCCAGCTGTTCACCGCTGTCGCTGTCTTTGATGGTCATGGATCCGTAGTATGAATAAGGGTAGACGATACACCCCGGATTGTTAACGTCCACTACTAGCGCGCCGTCGGAGTGCAGGTCCGCACATGGGAAGTTAACCAGTGTGTAGGTATATCGCGAAAAGGGGCAGTTCTGTAATTATTATTAGACCGGGTAACACAAGTCTCGCCGCATAGAGAAGCGACCGGAGCGCAGCAAATTCGTCTTCTAGTCCGCATCTTCTAATTCTGCAGAAAGGTATGCCTGGCTGTTAGGCCCAACAGCAAAATTCTGCCGATACTAAGTTGAATTACTAACGGTAGGTAGATTAAAGTAGGGACCTAGTTGCTGATGGGATTTTAACTGAAAGTGGCTTTGTTGGCACATGAGGGTAGCGCATTTGCCTAGCCAGCCAAAGGAAGCGGTCTCCATGGTCTATCGTAATAAATCAAGAAAATGGCAAAGTCATAAGGAAATACGTATATATTTAACCACACTAACGAATACGGTTTCGTTTTCGGTATATATAAAAGTATACTTTGATTTTTCTCATGCTTCGTTTACTTTCCGTAAACATTTTCATATTAAAGTTTTTGTCTCCCGGTCACTTACACCACACTCATGCGAGGAAATACACTGTATTGATCAGTATCGCGAGTATGACTGTGGAGCGCTCTCATGCCACTGTTCGGTACACGACAACACTATAGAACCAGACGGCATGACACCCATTCCTGTAAAGAACTGGTCCATAATCTGGGATTAGAGGAGCCGTTGCACAGTCGTTATCATGTCCATAGAAGCTCGAAAATTTTTGGAGGCATCGCCCATGCGGACGAACAAACGCCGAAATACTCCGGCGTTTTTTGGCGCCGGAAAACGGCTACATTTTTTACCTTAACGGAATACGAAGTTAATCGTGGACCAGAATTAGGGTTTTCTGGCCAGACTATTCTATCACCAATCTGGGCATGATCTTCCCACGCTTCTGGGCCATATCTGGCCTGCAGTACTCAGAGTACTGCCGGCGATATGAGCTCCAGTGACATTTCCGGGCCAGACTACTGTACTCTGGCTCGGAAATGTTACTACCTACAATTGAAAATGTTCCGGATAACTCAGAATTTTTCGTGCCCTGACCCGACTTGATTTCGTTTCTAGAAAGTGCACTAAAAAGTACCGGATGGCTGAACAAAATGGCAGTCTGATTTACCATGGTGCGCGGGATCCGACCACCACTTGATTGACGTCAACTTAGTTTCATTCGAAAGAGCAATCTTCTTAGCAAAAAAAATTAAGTCAACCCAAGATTAACCTAAAGCTGACATTTTTTATGAACTGCTTTGAAAAACTGGGTGAGTTTAGAAGATGTCCCAGAAGCGAAAATTTCTATATTTTAACTGGCTGCTATTGAACTGATAGCATTAATGCAGCTCACGTTACTTTTTCGGATAGCGGGATTGCTTTTCGTTTTTTAACTGTATGGTTTATTTTTGGCAAACTGGAAATGCGCACACTGCTGTAGCAATATAATTCTGCTCGTTTTTCCACTTATTGATTTTATTAACTATGGAATTATATAACTGCACATTTACGGTAGATGCCAGTGCATAAGCAAAAAAACTGCTTACCATATAAGTGGGAGTAGTAAATATTTGCTGACAGTCGGTCAGAAAATCTAGAGGAGGGCACCCTTCAGTTGGCGAAGTTGAAAGGTTGTAGAGACTGCAACATTTATCATATAAAACAGTGATCTCATTGATAGAGTACAGTACCCGTATATAGGAAATTGTGAATGCGTGCGTGCTTATTATATAAACAGTAGAAGTTGCTATAAATAAAAATGTCTTACGTTACAGTATATAAAATACTCCTGCTGTATGTGCGTATGCATCTAGACAACAGTGTAATCCAGAATGTTACTGCCCTGCATACCTTTGCAATCAGGCGGTATTTCGGTAGATGTCGCTGCGGTCGAGGTTGTCATCGCAGCGGTTGTTGCAGTGCAATAGCTCAACGATGCGGTGT